TAGATCTTTTAAGACATGACTTGACTTCATCAGTTCTGGTCCCTTTTGGTACTACTGGTAGAGTCTGCCTAAAGTCTCCAGCCAGTAAAACTGTTACACCACCCATTAACCTTTTATTTCCCCTTATATCCTTTAGAGATCTATTTAAAGCCTCAACACCACCCTTATGCGCCATTTTTTATTTCGTCCCACACTATTAATTTTGTATCTTTTAAAACTTCCGCAAAATTACTTTGTTTTGATATATTACATAAGGGAGTGACTGAAGTTGTTAGATTGAGCGGTAATTTGAAGGTAGCATGGGCCGTTCGACCACCCCCGAGCAGTGTAGCTGCGATTCCAGAAGATGCTACAGCTAAGGCAATGTTGCGAGTACTTCAAACTTTCGCTAAAATCAAATTGATTAAGAAAGTTTTTCCAGTTCCATCTGGAGCATCTAAAAAGTATATTCGACCCTCATTATTATTAACACTTGTAATAATGTGATTGTAAGCAAACTTTTGTTCRTCATTCAGAGATTCTTCATTGTTTCTTACGACGTCTTCTAAGGCTACTAAGTCATAACTTGTTTCCTTGAGATACTCTCTATTATCAAATTGTTCAGAGTTGCTTGACTGAGGTAAGCCATATTCTTTAAGTGGCTGACCACTAACACGGCATCTTCTATTACCGATAATCATTTTTTCAACACTACGTCCGCTAAGTATTCTGCATCCACGGAATCCTGTCGTTCTAATCGTATTTTAAAATCTTCAGATAGGTATTCTTTGAATTTKTCCCAAAGACATAAGGGACTATTACTTGGCAAAACACTAATATAATCGTAAATAGATTCCGTATCATATGCGRAGATTGGCAAWGTKCTGCCTCTTCTAGTGCTGCGTACAAATGTTCATCATCTTCAAGTAACCCTAGAGCCTTACACGTGGATTTAAAAGTGGGATGTACTTGACCATTTACAGTTTTCAACGCTTCAAACGAAATCGGGCCCCGGATTTCATGGAGAAGCATACGAAGGTGATAACATTCTGTATTGTTAGGATGAACCGTATAAACTCTACCCAGAGCGTGTTCTCTTTTGATATCTGGCCAGCCAACAACGTTTACTCCTCTCTTCCTCCTTTAGAACTTTTTTTTGTCCCAAACGTAATATACAGGTACTTCTGGGTAAAGCAAATTTTTTGCAAAATCATCCCCTTTACACAAATCAAAAAATGAGAGAAGTGTAGTTGTAGGAGGACTATTCACTCTGTCATGTAGGTTTTGTTCATTAAAGTAAACCCTTTGTCCATTTTCTAAATGKACAGCAAGGTGAACAACGGTAGGGAAACGCTCGTGAATTGGAAATTCAAGGATTCGCCACACGGCTTCTGATGAACTTATATATCGTCCACTTTCGTAAGTTTTTATTTCGTCTTTCTCATTTTCTAAGGCAAATGAAGTCTGGTCAGAGCCCTTATTTATGTATTTTCACACATATTTTATGGACTTCACCGAACTGCAATATTCCACATTGACGTGAGCGTTACATGTTCTTAACAGTACTGGATTATAAGGAACTATCCAACGATTAKCTATATCTACGCCTTTGATATTGGCGGAAAATCCACTGTCATCGGTTGAACGTCTCTTGTACTTCGGATAACCGCCATCACCAGTTTGAGTTTCCTTAATGAGATTCTCGGGGTAATGTTTACTGCACGCGTTATCTTTCATACATGGTGAATTTCGATTAAAACAGCCACAAGGGCCATGAATCATATTACATTTAACATTTCGCGAAGCTGAGGGTCACGTATGGGATCGGGTATTTCAGCACAAATAACATTGTCGATTTGATCCGGAGTAATGTGAAGCTGAAGCCATAAAAAAATATGAATATGTGGTTGACCTCTCTTTTTCCATTCTRTTGAATACATATAGCATCTCACTTCTCCGAATATTTTACCTTTTGTCAATAAGTTCATGGTCTTTTTGACTTTTAACCGAAACACTCTTGCAATTATATCATGTCGATCATATGATCTTTGACCGGGAAGTAAGAGCTCTTTTATCTAGTCCCTGCGAGGATTACATGTAAAAGTAATAAAAAGGTTTATTTTATAATAATTTATTATAATAACAATTCATATCTACACGCTGATAAAATACACACACAAATTAAAGGTCAGAGTACAGGTAGATGGAAACCCTCTGGTCGCCGTGCCGTACCGTATACCCGTAGTCGGTCGACTGCTATTGTTATTATTATATGAATATAGATATACAAATTACATTTAAAAATTTTCTTTTACCGATTTCAAYCCTTTAAATTCAAAATTTTGAAAAATCCTTT